ATGGATGATAACCACATTTGCGTCCCTAGGTTTTACGCTCTATCGTCCGCTGCCCTCCTATAAGTCTTTCCTGGTAGCTGTGCCTCATACTCAGCAGACTTGAAGCCGTACCGTCAATGTATGCTGTAAACAAGTCAACTGTTCACTACTTAGTGCACAAGAACTTAGTTTTCGTGATCCACGCTTCGAGTGAGATCGTGAGCAAGATTATGATTACATCAGTCGCGTGAAAAACTCAAGCAGGAGGAAGGGGGAACGAATATTGAACTGGATCTGCTTTTGCCGTTGAACTGAGTGAATTCGCGCAGATTTTGTAAAGTCGAAGATCCTCTGAACCAAACGCCGCAAATCACTACAATGACGGCAATTCACATCATTTCGTTTCTCTTATCATCCTAGCTTTAACGTCCTTTTCTAAAACATTGCCATGATTCTTCGACGACATTTGTCTGCGTACCCAATCTTGCTATAGAAATCAAGTGCCTCTCCTGGTAGAGTTGATATTGAGACGAACCCGGTTATGAACCAGGGAACAACCTTTAAAATAACTGGAGGCTCCTTATATAGGTGGAGATCCTAGTGTACGATCAAGGTGTACGAGACATACATAAACGAAAGGATGTACCACTGCATAGCGCGGCCTTCGGTAGATGGGTGTCACTCATCAGCGGATGATTCGATACTTGAATATAAGCACCTGGAGACATAGCTACGAAAACACCATACGCAATTAGGATTGCAGAATGACACTTACTCACGCTCATCATATTATCAAAAAGATAGAGATGCATGTAATTGGAAGTTGTAGACATTCAAAAGATGAGTTTTCCAACTTGCACAATGATTCATTCTTACTAACTCCACCCAAACCTAGTAGTTTCCATTGTATGACTGCTTTGACCATAGATAGAGGATTTGTAGCAGTTGATAGATACTTCAAAGATCAGATACGAATTTCTTTCGTATTCATGATCTTCATTCAAGCAGACATGAATGACCGTTATGAACATAATTTGGAGGAATTGTAGAAAGAAACCCATTAGATGATACCTGAAGTCAGAGGGCAATGAAAAACTTCCACAAACTTCGTTCATTTTCAACTCAAAGATGAGACTACAACACTAACTATATCCTCAGAAATCAAGAACTTGAGTAGGTGAAGGAAGACAAGTGATTTTGCTGAATCAACTATCGGGGAGAATAGTAACGCAGAATATGAGAACATGAGAAGCCCACACAGAGCCCGGCACGAGTCGGTTTGTAGGGTTTCTGAAAACGAAGTCCCCCCTGTCTATGGGAAATTTTACGAAGTACCCTTTGACCCTCATCGGAAACCTCTTAGGAGAAGATGAGAACAAAAGAAGTCACTGGTCTAACACAAAAGGAAAAACGTAAACTGAGAGTGAGAGTTCGGGTAAAAAGTAAAATAAGAGTGAAAAGTCAAGCTGGAGCTGAATTCCACACATGCACAAAAGTTTGACATTGGAGCATGATATATCTTACAAAGCAACTTATGAAGAAATTAGGGTAAAGAACAAAAGAAAGGCAACGATATGAAAATGTTTTCATGCTCAGGGATAGATTCTTGAACGTGAAGTTCGTCCATGCTAGAAGAATCCAGAACTTAAGTGAACTTAAAAAAAATATGCTCCAAACGATCTCAGATCGTCTGGTGGCCGTCTCGAGACGATCTAATTTTGGAAAAGGTTATTACTTCACACAGGTTTTCAAAACTTTTTACATAATTCTTCCTCAAATAGTGTCCTATCTATAGAGTTCAATTTTGGTGTCATATGATTCTGTGTGCGCTCTAAACAA